TGTTTCTTAGCTTTAACAACATCCACATCTGCCTTTCTTCCTATGTTCCAATGTCCAGCTTAACAGCTGCCTAGAGCCAGCAGCTTAGTCAACAAGGGTGTAAGGAACCCTCCCATTCAGGAATCACCAGAGGGGTGTGAAGCTGTCATCTGATACTCACTGGGAGGGAAGAGAAGGAGGGGGGGAGTATGGGCATGGGAGACACCATACAAACCCACTGCATTAACCGCTAGGAAGAGCTTCCTCTCCTTAGCAAAGCATGGACTCCTTGATGTGGAACAGAAACAAATTTAGGAATTCTGAAAATTTTCACATGAAGGGGAACCTTGTTTTGCATCACTATAGACACACGGCAGGGCCAGAACAGCGGAGAGTGCTAGTAGGAACATCATTAACTCCTGTGTGAAAGGGATGTTTGACAGGAGTATACTACAGCTACTGTGCTTACAGAGCTGTTTGTTAGCTCCACTTTTTCAAATGCTAAATCACCCCTCTTCACTCCTGCCATATCCCATACCAGAGAACCAATGATCAGTTAGAGAAATATTGAGAAGGGCGAAGTGGTTCCCATTTTCAAAAAAGGGAGCAAGGAGGACCCAGGAAACTACAGGCCAGTTACTCTTACCTCGATCCTGCGTAAGCTTTTTGAGAGAATTATCCTGGCGCATGTCCACAAGGGGCCAGCAGGGGAGATTATGCTTAGGGGCAACCAACACGGGTTCATTAGAGGCAGGTCCTGTCAGACCAACCTGGTGGCCTTCTGTGACCAAGTCACCAAATCCTTAGACGCAGGGGTAGCAGTGGACATAGTCTTTCTGGACTTTAGGAAGACCTTCGACACTCTCTCTCACCCCATTCTCATTAAAACACTAGGGGACTGTGGTATCAACACCCACACAGTGAAATAGGTCGCTAACTGGCTGGAGGGCCACACCCAGAGAGTGGTGGTGGATGGGTCATTTTCAGCCTGGAGGGATGTGGGCAGTGGGGTCCCCCAGGGCTCGG